GACAGACACGCAAGAATCACACAACAAACGAATAAGTAATGATCTCCGGATGCCTCCTTACTCGCTCTGAAATACACTAATCAGGTCAATAAATAGGCTACGAGACATACCATGCAGAGGGAGTTATGGAGTCTCTTTTTTTCTTCATGTGCTGATGAAAGTCAGTCTTCGTTCAGCCCCCAGGTGAACTAACTAACAGTAATTGTTCCCTGCGGCTTTACATCAGGCCACAGCCATAAACAGTGGCTGATTATTTTGTGGCAAGAGGTTTGTGAGGTGGCGGGTCTAGGATTATAGGAATACGATACATGAACAAATAAAGGGGTTGAATAAAAATAACTAAAGCTTTTCACAATTTTTTCCACCAATCAATCCGGATCTGTTGGTGTCTTATAGAAAGACAGGAAAGAAAGCCAAAGAAACATATTGATCCACGAGCACGAGGTGGCAACTATTGAAAGGACCTGCAGGCTATGAAAGATTGGAGGAAGATCGAATGAGAAAGAGAGCACTTGCCATCTAAGAGACAGTTTAGCCCAATTAATCTGTTATTGTTTTATCTTTCTTTTTTAAACAGGGTCTTTATTCAGTACATTTCTGCTTGAAAAGCACTTTATCTACTGCCTTTAACTTTGGAAAGCAGGCATCACTGCATCACATCAAATGATTGTTTTAGTAAACTAAACATGTTACGCATGACTTTATCACAACTTTCTTAGAGCAGGAATAAAAATGCCTACAGTTTATACAACATTTGTCCTTGACAGACTGAGAACGTGTGCTCTAAAAATGATCTGCAACCTCATGACGTCTGAGGCAATCAGTCCCAATCTTCACACTGTGACAGCTCATTACGGCGCTTGGCTACTTGCCCAATAAGGCTGCATTTGTTCTCCTGTCACCACAGGGACATGACGCCACACTATCTGAAAGATGAATGACTTTGTGATGATAATGACTATAATAATAAAAGCAATGACACTAACCAAAGGAAAGCCACGGCTTTCAGACGAGATTGAGACAGACTAAGAATTGCTTTAAAACCCAACCTAATGCAATCACAATAAAATTCACCTCATCTTTGACAGGCCAGAGACAAAATACTCTATCTTTTACTTTCATATGACGTGGCTGAGAGAAATCAAGCTTGTCAAACTTTGTGTTAACTGCACAGTTAGTGTGCCAGCACGCTGTCATCACCTTCAGCAGTGATACTTGAACATCTGACCTGAATGTGAAAATCTCATCACCTCGGGAAGAGTTGAAAACATCTAAGTTCTAAAAATAAGAAATGTAATTAAAAAAAAAAAAAGCCAATTTGTCTGAAAAAACTTGGAGTTGCCTCTGTGCAACTATTTCTCATCCTTTTTTGGTCATAATAAATAAAACAATACTTTATTTTAGTCATTAGAAATCCACAAAGGAGGCTTATCTAGGATATGCTCATTGGCTGCAGACTTGTGACTTAGAACCAATGAGTGTGCAGATTGACCCCTCATCCTTGCATCCAGTTTCAAAACGCCAACGACTGTGAAAATGCTTTTCTCAAGGCTTCAAAATGGGACAAACCAAATGTCACAAGTGATAAAAGCTGTCACTGCTAACATTTAGCATGTAGAGATAGTTTCCAAAGAGCACCCACTCTTTACGCTACCTGCACTGCAATGTTTCTGCCACAAAAACTGTTGAGCCCAGTGGCTGCGAGAAGAAGTGTGGGGGGCATAACACTGAATAATGCAACCTAATCACCTCGTTATGAAGCCGTGTGGCACAAACAGAATAACCGCACAAAGAGAAAAGCTACAACGGCAAGAAAGCACTAAAAGGTTAACTACATTTTCATACAATAATGGATGACTTAGCCTACCATAATTAATTTCCTTTTTTTAATATGTAATCAACAGTAACAGCAGACTAATACGATATGTCAGCTTAACAGTAGCTTTAAATTAAAACTTCTGTCTATTAAAATATCCCCTGTGCTTAGGCAAAGGTAATACAATCAATTTATTTTATTATCGCTTTATAGCTATCTACCAAACTAGTGACTAGGGGATCTCCCATCTGTTCATCTTTCCTTAACTGCTAGTACAATTTACAGTCAAGACTCTGGCTACAACCTAGACGGGTCACCGGTCGATCATGGGTCAACACAGAGACACAGACAAACGTTTAGTCTCATATTCACACCTAACAATTAATCTAGCATGTCTTTGAACTGGCTGAGGGCAAACTTAACTCAACATAATAAGTCACCGGTTAACCAGGAGGTTTGGAACCAATAACCTTTTTTCTCTTAACCAGTGAACTAACCCAGTATCAAATACTGCATTTTTCCCCTTCACTACATTAACTGTGAATAAAACTGTCCACCAGTAATGAAACTGTTTCATACATTTTCCAAATTGTGAAGGTGCACAATATGCCTTTCAGCTTATCGTGCATTAAAGCCAGTATCTTACCATTATTAAGCCAGCTAAACTGTCATTATACGTGTCACTTTATAATTTAATTGCAGGAATTACCCAGAAACAGATTTGCTTATTAATGTCTCCCTCCTGTCTCTCTCACGACTCTCTGCCATTCAGATGATGTCCATGAGTAAAATTGGCAGACTTTAATGTGTATTCAGACTGTATCGAATCAGTTTCCCACCACCCCAGGGCATAATAGGAAACAATAACTGAATTATGACATGAATGATAGCCAATTGCTCACAGTTCAGGCTGGAGACAAACTCGATGACATAACATTGATCTACTGACTCCTTCTATTTCCTTTTCTGTTTTATGCCTGACACTGACCAGTGCAGCATAAAAAACAATTTCTTTTATGAGTTAAAAAAACCCCACATTTCTGTCTTTTTTAACCTTGGCGCACATCTTTTGTTAGGCGTTGGTTAACATCTCTCCATGCTCTCTCTCTCTCTCTCTATACAAATCCTCTCTCTTACAAACTAAGAAGGAGCCATCACGCCACACGGTTTGCACCATGATACATTAAAGCCATTACTTACAAGCACACCGGCAGTGAAGGACAACTGTGTTATGCAGGCTAATACAATGCTCAGCCAAGCACACGCAGAGGCAAGAAAGCCACAGAACTTGGCCTATATATCATACTGCGGGATTTAGCAAGATTTTGGCACACACAGAGAAAGCTATATGCTACGTCTAAATCACGGGAGTCAATCGAAAAGTGAAAATGTAAAGGTCTGCATTAATTGTCTGCTGATACAATTATTATGTCCATCAATTTATTTTCTTTTGCTTATACAATTTAGGGTCACAATTGTGCTGGTGCTAATCCCAGCTGCTATAGGACAATAGTTGGGGTACATGGTAGACAGGCTGTCAACCTACTGACGGCTAACAGAGAGACAGAAAGACATTCACAGATACATTAAGTTTAGAATCATCAATCAGCCTAATGCACATTTATTTGTACTAATTCGTTTGTACCCCTCAGGTATAAAAAGCCGATGGGGTATTGTCACCCTGCCTGAGGGGCAGGTAGGAGAATGAGAACGAAGTGAGTGAAATAGTTTCAAATTGACACAACTGTGCATCTACAAAAACATCTCGAATGTGGAAAAATCTCAGTGACCTCAGACTCAGGGACAAGAGGTAAGGGTTTCTGAAAATCTTGTGAGTGCGATAACTCAAGTAGGACGTCACTTGGGATTTTTTAAAATTGATACGATTGATGCATCTCCTAAAAATCTCAGACAAGTGTGAATCCTCACTCAGAGTGACTGAGTTCAAGGTCGGAGGTCAATGTTTCTGAAAATTACCTTTCTAACTAACACAATAGGCACATCTACCAGGAGGCTGAGGGGTAGTACCCGTGGCCACTAGTTTTATTGTTTGAAAATATTTCGTTTTAGTTCTGTTTTTATTTAGTTTAACAAAATTTCTTTTTCTAGGTTTTTAGTTTATTCTTTGTGGGTTCTGTCCTCCAAGGTTAACTAGGAATAAACTTAAACAAAACGTCCTAATGCTTCACAGAAGGGCCTTAGCTGGCCATTTGCTTTAAACTCAGGACCTTCTTGCTGTGAGGCAACGGTGCTAACCAACACACCACCATGCTACCTCACATTTGTATGACTTTTCATTTTCAAATAAATAGTCTAATTTGCTCAGCTTAAGCGGTCCTGTTTAATAACAGACTATTTTTGTAAGAGCAGCTACAAGTATTATTAACATTTTTGTTATTAAATTGACTGCAAAAACTGCTGAGGCTACTAAGAATACTTAAAGTGAAACAGACTCATTCTGTCAGAACAGATATTGGATCTAAACAATAGCTGAATGAAGCTTTGAAACGTGAATTGATGCATGTTGCTGTTCAACGAAAAATAATTATATATCTGACTTGCCACCGTTTTGTTTCTTTTTTAAAATGTGGGCCAGGAACACACTCACACAGTTGCATTGTATGACAGTCAGTTACATGCTCGTTCTCAATAATAGCTTAAGGATTAATAGTGTTGGTCACACCCAAATGTGCTTGTACCCCATGATTGCAGTCATTACCCTTGTCCCCATATTCCAGGTGCTAGTTTAAGAGTTCAAAAGGTCAGTTCCTAAGACAGCATAAATTGTGCATGGGATGAGAACAGTGTTCCCAGTCTAACATACTGTCGAGAGTTATCTCACAGGCAGCACAAACCCTCTGACACCAACCTTTATTAAGAGCATGCTCAACAAAAGGAAGCAAGCTCAGCGCTTCCTTTCTCTCCTGAACTCACTATCATTTTGCTGAACTCGTCCTTTCACCAGGAATTTACTTTTTGTCAGCTTTTCAACATCTGGTCACTGCTCAAGGTTATTATTTGACTCCTGTTAGAAAATCGTTGTGATCAAACAGACCAATCATTCTTCCTGGTAATGCCATAAAGGAGACACAGAGGCCTTGCAAACCTTTTGACTTTATATTAAGTTCCGTAATCGTTCGAGACACTTTAAATAAGGGACAGGGAAGAGGCTGGTCCAACTTACTGTGTTGGCAGTGAACTCCACTGAAACCTGGTAGACACTTGCACACATAACCAATGAAGGTATCACCCCTGTAGGTCTCACTGATCTCACACGTTCCTCTGTTGTGGCAAGGGTTTGGATGGCAAGGACCTGCACAGAAAAAAGAAGAAAACAGACATCGATGATGGGGGTGGCTTTTTAAAAAAAATAAAAATTAACTGTACACACAAGAGCAAATTGCAGCTGATAATATTCCACAGTAATTTTGGTATATGCTACAAAAGTGTACTTAGACATCGTTATCCAGCCAGTAGTCTAATAAACTAAACAATGGGTGTCCCATTAAACACATCTACAGTTTTTAATAGCACACAATAACACACAAAGTTTTAATACATAAGGTACACTGGGAGACATTGTGAGGTGGTGTTTAAGTAAAACTGCTTGACAGGAGAAACTGAGGATGAAAGGAGTGTCGGGAGAGTCTGTCTTTCAGTGACTGCTGCTGGTGTCTGTTGTCTAGAGGGCGGCCCAAGGCACCGTCTAGAAATCACTGAATGTGTCCCCTCCAGGAAGGCAACACTTCATTCTCACAGTGCTAAGCGAAAAGCACAGACTAGCTGCAAGGTAAAATGGAGCACCACCATCTATGCACTGAAATGTACCCACGGCGTCACCCACACATACGTACACACACAGATGCTCACACAAATAAGTCGAGTTTTGACTAAGCAGTTACTTAAATTATTTAAAAAGATTATTATTTTTTTTTAATTAATAAAAAGTGGCCATTGTGGTGAACAATTCACCAGTTTTAAGAGTTTCTGTTCATGTGTCCCCCAAAATGGAGAATCGTTATTAATACTGTACTGAATTTGTACTCCACAGAGCAAAATAATAGTCTCTGAAGAAGTGATTGCTCAAGTGATTGCCACTGTGAAAGTACTGCTGCTGTCCTGAATACTAGGGGCAGGCTAGCCAACCAGCAATTCTCTGAGGGTTTGAACAATATAAGGTGTAGTCTAAAGTTGTGAATGTGCTGCAGAATGGCCAGCACAAACGCACTGTCTTTAATAGTTATAAATATATTGGTGCAAAAAACATTTTAAAAAGGTCACATGCTGTTCTTATTTTGCTCCAATGTACATTAAATTGTTAACTCAAATGACTGCAATGGCTTTTTTATTGAGATACTTGTTGCCCTTTGGTGTTCCAAAGTGCTTTTGTGACACAAAAGCGTTACCAAAAGACAGCAACATCATTTGAATTTCAGAAAATTGTAGCAAATTCACTCTACTAATAAACTGAGGCAATCCTTTAAGTCACTTCATTTGTATTGGAACGTACTGTTTTCTGCACAGTTTACTTCAGTGGATGTTTTTATTGCTTTCAGTGCTGTGCAAATGACCTCCACCAATAAAATCTGTCCATTTGGTTGAAGTATCCCATGTTGTGCACAGATAACCACAGTTCAGCATTCCTACAGAAAATCAAACGCTTATGCTGTACCCTGTCTGAGGGTCAGTGCTGCTCCGAACACAAAAGGCTCCTATGAGCCAAACACTAATTTGCAAGGGAATTCATATTCATAGCCACAAATCACATGTATTCATGCTGTGTAAACAAAACCCCATTCATCATTACCATTGTTTTCTCATCAATATTTGGGTGCACAGAACACTGGGAAGCTTCGCCACTAGAGAATTCATGCTTTGGGATTTAAGCAAACAATAGAAAGAATTTCAATAAAACAAGCAAAAAAAAAAGAAAAAACAGAAAACGCCTCAGTGTTACGCCGGTAATGATTAATAACTCTGTTGGAGCATGATTCTTTCCATGTTTGTTGCTGTTTTTTCTTTCTTCTTTTTGTTTTTGTTCTCGTTATGGTATCTCTTTGCAACCCATAATGATAACTAAGGCTATGAATAAAAAATTATTATAACAAAACCTGTTGTGTATGATACAGCAATGAATTAATTAACTGGCAATGCCCACAAAACTGTGACATTCAAAATCTTTCATGAACTAGCCTGCAGCATAGGGCAAAATGTTAATGATGACGCCTAGATGCAAGCTTGTAGGTTTCATAACTCAAAAACCTGCCAATATCTGTCTAATTTTTTATACATTTAGTTGTACAACTGCACTGAGTCTGTCAAAACTTTGCAGATTGATGGGGCGTGTTCGTTGCTCACCTAGTGATGTGTGCGCACCATGCACTTAGGCTGAATTCTTACTGTGGTAGCCCAGGCTTGCATCCACCCCAGACTCCTTGCTGCATGTCAACCCTCGTCACCTACGCCTACACCCAGGCATCTGGGTGCTAGCTAGGTACATGTCAATTGATCATTTATTGTAGAATGTAATGTTTAGATTAAATCTTATTATAAACCACAAAATCATCGTCTTCCTGTCCGCAAACTCCTCCTACAGGATCACAAGTACAGCAACCAAATACGGGAGACATCTTTAGCCAATGAAGGTTCTTATTCTATATCATGACGTTGTCATGTTGCCAAGCAACCAGCTACCATGGGCTAAAGTGACCCATGTTTAGCATTTATCCAACTAAATCAGCTTATAAAAGCATGATTTTGATTTCATTTATATCCACAAAACTTCAAATGTAGTATATTATAATACGACCATGTTACCTGTGAACCCGTTAATTGATATTTATATAATGCAACAGAAAGGGAGCTTTGTAAGGGACCCACAAAAATGGGCTAATTTTAGTACAGTATTTATTTTTTTGAATCTATTTATCTTTCATGCTTTTTAATCTATAAACAAGAGCTACCACATTGCCAACAGCATGAGCTGACTGCACAATCTGCATTTAGTAATGATATCTAACATGACTCTAAAGTTTAAAAAAGTCTGCTGAGAAAAGAACTAGCAAATCCGAATTCTTTCCATCAGCATGCCCTTGTAAGTTTCCTATCTTGTGATGCAATTTCTATTCCAGTCATTTTACAGTCATATCTTAGAGTTGACAGGGAAACTGTGCTTTGACAGGTCTCTTATTTCATTTTAAGCGATGGGAAACAAGAAGAAGTCTCAAGGGTGAGAATCTCATGCCCTCTTAAGTCAGTTTGACAAATTAGCAGCCACGAGCACAACATTTGACAACGTCAAGTAAAAAGCTGCAGCCTTAAATTGTTTACTATATCAACGGGGCAACCATTTCACACTAGCCCCAACCCATAAAAAGAATAGGAAAAAAATGAAGTAAATAAACAAATAAATACAAAATCACTACCGACCCTATTATTGTTCTCTCACTGGAATTAGTAGGCCTCTAGGTGTGAATTTCAAATGAGGTAATCCTATCGAAGTCATGCTATTTCAAAGCCTGGACCTGTATTAGCAATAATCAGAGTGGTGGATAATCAGTTGAACAGAGGCTTGTATAATAGCTTTCACAGAGGACCTGCTCACTGTGAGAAAGGGGGTTGACAGGTTTCAGGGCTCTTTTGATGTGATGATCTGTAGTCGCACCATGCTGTACTGACAGCATCTCTAATGGCAAGTGCATAAAACAGAAAAAGTGGGGACAAAAGGAGGTAGTGAGAGAGAGAAAAGAGGGAGGGAATGGTTTCTCAGTTAGTGTGTTAGAGAGATACAAAGAGTGTTCAGTATGACATCTACATTTGATTTCATAATTTCTGTCAAAAAAAAAAAAGAAAAACAGGAAGAAAAAAAACAAACGCCCCAATGTGCCAGAAATTAAGCAAACTTTTGTATGGTATGAGTTAAAAATAAGCCAAAAACTGAGGAACTGCAGAACTGTTATGAGTCAGGATCAGATACCAGATCACATTAGCACACATACAAAAATCTGACATCCACTCAGCATATAATATCAAAAACTATTCATCTGAGAGAGAGCAAATTGTCTCGCCAGTGGAAAACACCACATGAAAATTGCAACAGCTACTTTCGTGCCCTCGGTGGGCTGAGACTGACACAACTTTTCAGAAACTTACAAAACACATAAACCAAAACAAAACTGCGTTCTGTTTCTAATTTCTTGGGAAAATAATAGTTACAAAAACATTTTTAAAAAAAGAAATAAGTTTGTTTATAGTCTCCAAACTTTTCAACTAAGAGGATGATGATTTTTATTAAGAAAGAAGTGTTTTTTAATGCTATAAACAAAAAAAAGAAGGAAATCCCTTATTCACTTCAACAGCTGCCCATTTCTAGAAAGGATTAAATACTGGGAGCCATGATGGAAGCAACAGAGAGGAAAAACCAAACACTACTTAGAAAAGAAGCAGCTTTCCAAGGAAAGGCAAGGGAGTAAACATGGTGCGCCATTAAATTGTGTTTTCTTCACACAAACACACACCATGTACAATGTAAGTTGTGTGTTGCTGATTGCTGGAAAGTATTAGCTGCTAATGCTACTACTACAGTGGCTTGCAAAAGTATTCGGCCCCCTTGAATTCCATGTGAAAGACCAATACAAAGTGGTGTACACGTGAGAAGTGGAACAAAAATCATACATGATTCCAAACATTTTTTACAAATAAATAACTGCAAAGTGGGGTGTGCGTAATTATTCAGCCCCCTGAGTCAATACTTTGTA